CCCAAACACTGAAAAGCAATAAAACCTGTAGGCTTTTTTATCTCCTACCAGATTTGAAAACTAAGGTTTCTTTTTAGATGACCTCGGTGGTAATGCACAGACAAGATGCTATTCTAAGAGATATAAAGAACAGGCTTTAAGAGGAGGGAGATATTTTATCTTCTTTTGGTTTTCTGCTTATAAAAAGTGTGTAGTGTCATAATTTTTTTTGTCTTTATTGTATTCATTATACATTGCGCACTTTGTGCTTGTTTTTTTCTTATATTTTGTCCAAGCTACGTACATGTGTTGCCACTCTTTGTACCTCTGTAACTCTGTTTTTTATTACTCTTGCAAGCATCTATTTATTAGTTCTGCAATTGTAGTAAACCTTTTTAGATGCCTGTGATGTTTTCTGCTGTTAAGCACTCACATAAATGGTTCAAAAAAATATCCGCTCAAATATTTTGATACTGATCATTGATAAAAACTTTGTAGCTTATTATAAAACTGCAGTAAGTCTCCTGGCTTGTGCCTGTAAAAGTACTTGCATGGCTTTTAGTCCAGTCGAGAGTAAAACGCTGTTGTTTGCATCTCCCATGCTTACGTGCTTACTGCTGCCACTAATGAAATGGTCGTGAGATGTTACTACCTGTGCGTTAAGCTTAGTGAAGTAGTTCTGTTACGTTCTGTACAGCAGAGAAGTTTGTGCAAACACCATTATTATTTTAAGGTCAATGTAAATGGTCGTTCAAAGATTTTGTTTCATACACCGACAAGCTAAAAGGAGCTGCTGGGAGCATATTAAGGATTCTTCTCACCCAGTCCCACATTTACAATGGAGATTTCTAGAACTTAACTGATCACCCAGGGCCCTGTTTCCATCATTGGAGAGGAACTGGTGGCTTTGGGACACACTTAATCTTAACTGCTTTTAGGCATCTGCTTTAGTAAAAGTGGAATCACATCCTAGGATACCCAGACTTTTTGATTTTACCTGCATTGATGGTAAGGATAGCTCTGCATCTACATTGTGGGCATACAGATGTAGTGAGATAAGCCCGGTAGATGGTGATGTCCCAGAACGCGGTCCCCAGAAGCCTCGGTGCTGCATTTGCACATGCCTGGGAGGTTGCCGTCCTGCTGGGTCTGGTGACCCTTTGATGTGTAAGCTGAATTGGCTGTATTTCCAAGCCCAAGAAGGGACTCTTGAGGCATATTTAATGCATACGGGGAAAACTAACATCTTGACAACAGTCTGTTTCATTAGAAGTCATGCCAAGAGGAAGTCATGCCATCTCCAGTAGCTCACAGCAAGGAGAATTTCCTCAGAGTATTAGGAGTGCAGGCAAGTGCTCTCTGTGCAAGGAGGTTCACATCCATGTATCCTGCTACAACTCAAGAACGTTAGCACGTGGGTGGTAAGCTCTTCTGGAGTGGGAGGACTTTCTCCTTTTAAAACCGTGTCACCTGGCAGTAAACTGGGCCAAACAAAATAAAAATTGATGTAAGATTATGAACCTCCCTTGTGGAGGGGAGCCCTAGGCTGCTGCCCTGCTATGAGAACTATTTCTATAATTAATGCAATCTTCAGTGCGTTTGTTCCTATGTGTTCTTTCTCCCAGACAGGTGATTTAATTGCTTCACTACAAAATGTACTCCTTACCGTTTCCCTCTGACCAATGCCTTCTGCCAGGCTGGAGAAGATTAGGTCATACATAAGCCTTGGGCTGTCATTCTGCACCACGGAGAATGTTAAAAGTAAATCTTTTTTACTGATTGCCTTTATCTCTCTCAGTGTGGCATGCCTTTTGGCACTCTGAATGGCAATTACTAGAAATTTGTTCCTAGTAATGAATACAGAGTGTTAACTCCGTGGTTAATGCCATTATGTGATGAGTACGCTTGCCTCATTGCTCGCTGCTGACTTGCTGACATCTGAGAAAGGTGGTTACATAGCAGCGGTGTTAGATTTGTGATAAAACTGTAAATAGCCATTTAAAGGTTGGTAAGCTGTTTGGGGGGCTAAGGCATGGCTATAATATATGCAGGATGAAAGTAACTTGAGATTAATTCATTTCTATAACTCTGCTCTGGCAACATTCTTTGAAGGAAATTTAATATATCGTCTTTGTTGCGTGTAAGATCCGTTTTGTTAAAAATAGGGCGAAGTTATAATAGGGTTTGATCACCCTGACCGGAGCACTGTAAAGAAGAGGCTGGGCACTAAACCGTTGGTGCTCAAACCGAGGAAAAAGCTAGTTAGCTTCCCTGACATTAAGGGAACAGATTTTTAGAAAGCCGTTCATTGATCTCTGACAAACAGCTTGAAAGGGATGCCAAACCCTCAGGGTTTCTGTCATGAGCCTTAAAACGCATTTGCCTATTTTTTGCGTAGAAACAGGAGCTCGCCCTCCGTCGCCAAACTGCAGAACTAAAAGGATGCAAAAACCATCTAGTCTGAAGGGCTCTGAGGGGAAACTTCATATTCAGAATTCAAATGTGTACAAGAGATTAGCAAAATGACTTCAAATGGGATTTCAGCCATATCTGAGAGAGACCCACAAATCCTGAGCACACTGATAGGCAAAATATTACCTGCACTGCCATTAAAAAGCTTGTTTTCTTCTCCGGGCATTTCTTGTGAGAAAAATAGCTCGCTGACATCAACTGATCACACAGATTAATGTTGTTTAAGGTGCTATTGCTTCGTTTTCTTGATATCAAATGCAATTTTTCTGACAGTTTTTATTTCTCTTTCTCAAATTGAAAACAATATCATCATGAACAGAAACAGAGTGATGGAGGAATAAAGAAATGATGGTCCTCCAGTTGGTTAGCTGTTTAATGTCCTTCCTAGCTATACCATTTGCTGTGAGTTGTTGTGGACTGAACCTGGGCCTTGAGAGGACGGGAGGTCCTTGCCGGGGTGGGCAGCTCTGCTGAAGTGCAGCCGCTGTGACGGTGTGAGCCGGGCTGGGGTAGCGCCTGCTGGTGGGCTTCAGCTGGGAGCTTGACTGGGAAATGTGAGCATCTGTGGTGTGGTCCACCCAAGATACAGGCGTGCTGGCCCCTCCAGCATCCCTCACGCTGCTCTTATGCCTGCCATTTTCATTGAATGGTTTCCTCTTATGATTTCACATTTTATTCTTTTCTTTTGTTAAAGAAAATGCTTGCAAAACAACAAAGAATTTGGGGTTGAGATTGCGTTTAACGTGCATTTTGTTGGCAATATCCTCCATATCGTGGGCTAACTATGCTTTTATCATTTTGAGGAGGAAGCTAATGACTGCAAAGGTATTTATGGTGGGTGAAAGTGCCATATAATTTTTAGCATATAGATTTACTTTCCATCCGTCCATCCACCCTGGTAGTAATATGGATACAGTTCTCATTACTATTAATAGAGAATTGCAATTTAAATTCCCCATGCATCAAGCAAGCAATAGACTTCCTTTGCATATACATGGCACTGCCATTGATCTGATTGATTCTGGGTTGCAATGGTGGATGTGGTCAGCGATGGGTGAATGTCGTGGTTTAGCCCCAGCTGGCAACTAAGCCCCACGCAGCCCCTCGCTCACTCCCCCACGGTGGGATGGGGCAGAGAATCGGAAGAGTAAAAGTGAGGAAACTCGTGGTTTGAGGTAAAGACAGTTTAATGGGTAAAGCAGAAGCCGCGCACCCAAGCAAAGCAAGACAAGGAATCCATTCACCACTCCCCATGGGCAGGCAGGGGTTCAGCCATCTCCAGGGAAGCAGGGCTGCATCACGCGTAATGGTCACTTGGGAAGACAGACGCCATCACTCTGAACATCCCCCCACCCCTTCCTTCTTCTCCATCCCAGCTTTATATACTGAGCATGGTGTCATATTGTATGGAATATCCCTTTGGCCAGCCTGGGTCAGCTGTCCTGGCTGTGTCCCCTCCCAGCTCCCCGAGCACCCCCAGCCTGCTTGCTGGTAGGCCAGCACGAGAAGCTGGACTGTCCTTGACTGCTCAGCAACAACCCAAAACATCAGCACGGTATCAACATTTTCTCATCCCAAATCCAAAACATAGCCTCACGCTAGCTTCTATGAAGAAAATTAACTCTACCCTGGCTGAAACCAGGACAGTGAATTAATAGGAAAGGCAGAGTTAACTCTTTTCATGAGTGTCTGTGAGTCAGGACTATCTTTGAAGTAAAGTGCTAATAAGAAAATCAGTATTGATAGAGTTAGATGACAGCCCATAATGATGATGATGTTAGAAAAGAAATAAATTATCTGTGACTTAAGTTTCGGATTTGTGCAACACTGATGGGGTTTAAAAACTGTAGAATAAGGTTGGTATCCAGTGTTCTTTAAAGACCTGGCTCTGTTTCTATATGATGTGACTTTATATCTCTACCCTTCATTTTCAAGGCTCATGTAACAACAGCATAGGTTGAAAGAGATTCACAACACAGAAGGGGTGTGTGGCTTCGTATTGCTGTCCTGCAGAGGATTGTGTTTAAGACTTTAAGGCAGGGCGGTCTTTTGGTAGCTAAGAAGAAGTGATTGTGCCAAGTTTTCTTGACTGGAGTCAAATCAGGAATATTAGGTATGTCTCTTGCCTCTTGGAAAGATCATCTGAGCATGAGACTATCGGCCGAGCAATGTGCCACGTCGTTAAAGAGAAGCTCAGGTTTGCTGGGTTGTCTGGTTTTACGCCTTGTCTGCAGCCTTTTTGGGAGAATGGCCCAGCTTTCCCTGGAAAGGGTGGAGGAGATTCCTGTGCAGGATTGCCCATATCTTGGTGAGGATGCTCCCCAGAGGGGTGAATATGTGAAGGATACTGAGGCGGAGGTGGTGGTCTGCGAGGGCTGTACCAGTGGAACAAGAGGGGATCCTGGCCAGCGTTTATATAGAAATATATTTGTAGCAATTTTGGAAGCATTGGTTTTGATATAATTAAGCATCTTTCACCAGTAAATAGGGAAAACATTTTATTCTGTTTTCACCGTGGTTTCCATAATTTTGTTTCCAGCAGAGTCAAAATGTCAGACAAAAGTGATTTAAAAGCAGAACTTGAGCGCAAAAAGCAGCGTTTGGCTCAGATAAGAGAAGAAAAGAAACGGAAGGAGGAAGAAAGGAAGAAGAAAGAGGTAAATATGCAAAAACGCCTTTTAGATAGCTCATGCTTGCAGAGCGGTCTTGCTGAGGTTTTGTACATCTCAGTATTGTATCCCCCAAGGTATCTGTCATGTGGAATGAGATCCTCAAACCCCCATCAGCCTAACCTTAACATCAAAATGCTTATTTTTAGTCAAGAAAGTTGGGGTGAAGGAATTGCTTTTAAAACCAATGCACTGTCAGATGACAACAGTTTAGACAACATGATGTGTACGTGTGCATAGAAAGAAAATTTGATTTGCCACAATGCTTTTTCCTGGGCTGTCCTTCAATGGAAAGGGAGTGGAGAGTGGGGAAAGACAGAAAGAGGGCTCGCATTTTTTTCAAGCTATTACAATCTAAATTTGTATTTTTGTACTCTGAAGTTTGATTACTAGCTAAGGTAACAGGTTTACAATTATTATTCTCCAGTAAAGTAAAGCATAATTGCAATTGCATTTTCATCTTCTGGCATGGGCGCATCTTTCAGTTCTGTTAAAATTTGATTGACATATTAGTTTATTTGTCCTTGACAATATGCATTAGGTTTTTCATTAAGGGATTTGTACTTCTTTTTATTCAGTCACTTAGTGGAATAGAGGTGAGAACTGACAGGGAGTGGATATTCATTTTCATGCAAAGTCAGAGAAGCATTAAGTGATTATGTTTCCTTTCCTTCAAATGTCAACACTTACTATAGTTTAAAGCACCTGTTATCTTTTACTAATAACTGGTTTCCTTTTAAACTGACACTTTAATATCGTACATGAATTTCATGGAATTACCGTGGAAATGTGATGTGATCCAAGAAATCAGTGTTCCAGTTTTGGCTGTCTTTTTAATCTTTTTTCATGAGAGCTATTTTTGTGCAATTACCAGCACACCCCCCGGTGTGGCTCCTGGCGTCATTGGGGGAGTCCTCTGCAAGCACAACTTCAAATGTGACTGAAACCAGGACAAGTGTTCTTACTAGCCTGTTAATGAATTAGAGGGAAGGGAGCCAAGCTAATGGCTCGAGGAAGCTATTAAGTCCTTTCTTTTGTCCCCTGCCTCTGATTTTATGCCTTGTGGAGATCTTGTGGAGGTTGGACCTTTCCATTGGCCCCGATAGCCAGATCCAGCTCGGGACAACCAGGTCCACAGATCATGCTGCGGTGCCTCACTGTGGTGCCCTAACTGGGGTGCACTGTGACGCCTAAAGGCCCCCGGGAGTGAACTCTAACATTCACTTAGGTGCCGAGCCATGTACACTGCTGCAGAAGAGTCGTCTACAACCCCATGTACTGGGAGATACTTCAGGCCAGCTCATGGGAAGATCTGAGCACAGGGATATGCCTGAACTTTGTCTTTGTCTGTAAAAGCGATGTTCTTCAGCGTCCTGGCCGTGTCCAAACTGGAGAACATGGGGATGCTTCTGAACTTCAAGGTTTTCTGCTGTGCCCACACCAACATGAACGCCAGGCTGAGGCACTGTGCGAGTCCCCTGTGCCCCACACTCTGGTTTCAGTGGAAAGGAAAACGGGATAAGATCAGCAGATTTAGAAGGAACCTTAGGATCCCAAGTATAGAGGCAGATGCCTGCAGACATCCTCTGTAAGAGCTATGCTGGGATTTCTGTATTTAGGACAGGATAAAATGATAGACATGACCACTTGCATTTTGTTTTACTTGCATTACTGGTTACAGCACTCGACTACAAAGAGAGTCATGGGTTCAGTTCCCTCATCTGCTGGGGAGAAGGGCTGCAAGCCTGTTTCTTTCAATGGAGTGCTCTAACTACCAGGCTGGGGTATCGGTTGTTTTCCTTCCACCCTAATAAATTGGGGAATGATGAGCCAAGTACAAGGGATTCTGCCTAATGCAGGTGTTGGTCTTCCTGCTTCTAGGTCCCAGTAGACCAGATCAGGAGGATGTTAATGTGTGGACGCTCCAAGGAGATATAGATAACCTAAGCAAAGTGGGAGAGGTCTTGTGGACTGTTAGTTTTGGCTGTTGGTGCCCAGGGCTGCAAAAATGCTGTCTTAGACATGTTAGTCCTTTCCTCCTTTGCTGCTGTTAGATGTTGAAGTCTATGAGAAAGTATTTTTATTGCCAACAAGTGCTACTAAATGTAAGCCCTTAAGCTACATCACTGAAGTCCAATGGAATTTTATTTCTTGATCCTGGAGGAAGTAGGAAGAGGCCATTTTTATTCAGGGTAATGATATCTGTTATTCTCCGGTCAGCTTTTATATTAGCTGAATAAGTTGCACCTGATGAGTGAGAGGCAGAACCATCAGTGTGCTGTAAAATCCTTGCAAATATCAGTTTTCCCATGCACTCAGGGAAAAATATTGTTACTGATCTATACAGTATAAATTACCTGTTATAAATTATCTAAACACATCTAAGTGAATTTTAACATGTACCTAAGCAGTGGTGCATGTAAATATTTTCCACACAGTTGCCAGAGCTGATTTTATGTGGATGAAACTTTTCTGGTTTTTTTTGTTTTAACTCAGGCTGATCTACAGCAAAAGAAGGAGCCAGCTCAGGAAGATTCTGACCTAGACCGCAAAAGAAGAGAGACAGAAGCTTTGTTACAGAGTATTGGTATATCCCCAGAACCACCTCTAGGTATTTAAGAGAAGCACAATGTAAAGCATTCAGCTCTGCCACAATGAATGCATTCTTTCTGTTAAAGCATGCTTGGCTTTTTTGATTTTTTGGCTGTATTAGTGAAGTGAACTCTTCTGTTTGAATGCCTGCCATACCATTCACATATACCAGCTCATGGCATTTTGAGTACTTGTCGTTGCCAAAAACATCTGTTTCATTCCTTCGAGAAATTTTTGTGAATGTAATGCAGGTTGTTTTCGCATACCAGCAGTGATTTCTTTTCTGATGGACTGTGTTATCTTCTCTCACATCTGATGACACACAACCTATTATTATAAATGCTTTACTTCATTAGCCCCAAGTTTTGTTTCAAAAATTCAGATTAAGCATTTGCTAAGGAAGGAGGAGCATAGTCATGTGGGAACTCCCACTGATTTTCTTTTAAAATCGAGCACAACTGGAGAGAGGAAATTAAAAGGCAAATCACAAATAGGAAAAAGCTTATAATCAGCTCATTATTGTAGATTTTTGATCTGATTTCATGTGCTTCACCTCTTTTTTGATTTTGATGTTTCAGTTCTAGAATCTGAGGACCTCAGTTTAAAAATACATGTGGCAAAATTTATAGTATCTAAGTAGTGGTTACCTTTATTAAGTTCTGTCTCACTTATTGGGTGGCCCTAACATGAGAAATCCTTTTCCTTCTTTCCTTCCTTCCTTCCGTCCTTCCTGTACTTTCTTCTCTCTTGAATCCAGAATCACTCTAATTATTTTAGCTGAAATATTGGCCCCTCTGGATGTATCAAGCCTTGTCATTAAATTCATTGGAGTTGAATCTAGGATTTTACCCCTAGACATTCTTGCTTGTAATGTTTAGGAAAAACTCCACATCTGACAAAATACTGCAGCCTTGATTTAGGAAAGCACCTTATACAGATGCTTGGGTGCATATGCAAGTAGGTTGTGACATTCTGAATTGGGATTTCAATCCATAACTTGCATCAACCATCGTTTATTGAGAAAAGTTACTATTTTTATAGGCTGTTATATAGTGACTGAACCTGGTCACTATAACAAGAATTGTCTGACAAGTAATGGTCAGGTTATTTTTATGTATCATAAAACAATGATTTGTAAATGATATCATGATATTCTAAAATAAGATACATTTTTAATGTTCTAGCATTTAAAATACTAATTCTTATCTAAAAATGAGGATATAGTTCCTTAACACATTATTAACTGAACACATATGTTCATGTTGCAAATTATCAATACTTATCTTAGTTCATTATTTTGTGTTTGATACTGTCAAAAGAACAAGAAAAATCACATGTACGATGATTCATTTTAGTTAAACAATAGTATTTTGTCCTCTTTCATTCCCTGTGTGTACACTCACAATTAATATACAAAGGAGGCTTTAATTCTGCCTTCACATATGCATATGATGCCCAGATCACACTGAATATGGAATACATAAACAGCCACGACATACCTGGAACCTGCCAAAGGGCTGTCACAAAGATGAATTCACTTTTCATGCTGCAGTCATTTCTGTGACGGTCTCTAGTGGGAATCTGCATGAAATGTTTGACCACATGGAAAATCCAAATCTCTTGACAGGTCTGTCATTATACATTATAAAGCATAACAAAATAGTTTAAAGTTTTACTCTGTTAAATCTATAAAAGGAAATGCACATGATTTAAACCAAATGGGAAACTTTGCTCTTGCATTATAACCCGTTTTTGTGTTTTATTCAATGTGGCTGCTTTGAAGAATACTTGCATTAAATCTTGACCGGAGCCATCTCTGTATTTTAAAGACTTTTGAGAAACCATTTTAAAAGAAATCAGGATATTTTTACTTTTATATTTATTATTTCCTTGCTGAAAAGCTTTAACTCGGGCTGACCTTGAGCTATGAACTTCCTTTCCTGTTTCAGGAAACAAAACTGCCTTTGCATGAAATATGCTTCAAAAGCCCTGGCAAGACAAAGAGAAAATCATTTGTAGAGCTTGGGCAAATAGTATCTAAACCAAGGGAAATTTTTCCTTGAGTGTTGAAATCATGTCCCACCCAAAATGGAAACTTTATATGACCTAAATTACTTAAGAAAACATGATCACTAAGCAAATTAATGTGTATTCTCACCATCTTTGGGAAATGATTTTAACTTAGCTCGATTTCCTTATTTAGCTTTCATTTTTTATGTCATTTCCACACTGCAGCCTTAGGCCGTATCTAATGGACACTGGCTTTTGATTTAAATTCAAAATTTGGAAAGTATGCTTGTTCTATTGACTACTTGACTTTACCAGAAGAGTTCACTTGCATTTTTGACAAGACAAGCCCCTGATATTTCTTCATACCTTTAAAATCTTTTGCAAGTCAACTTTAAACTATACCCAAGAAAACAAGTGCTATTTTATTCCCACAGGTATCTCCTCCATTGATTAGCTGTAGATTCCCATTGGGCTTTTAGTCCTGTCTAAATTCATGTCAGTTTTAACACTTCCAAAAGACTTAACATTCACTTGACTCTCTTCCTTTTCTTTTTCTTTCCTTCCTCATTTGCTTTCACCATTTCAAACTCTCCTACTCATTCACCCACTATCATTTTGGTCCATTGGTTTTGATTTGTCTGACACTGCTCTTCATCAGTGCAGTCGCTGCATGTGTTAACATGGGATACCTGTTATTTTCATTATTTAGTCCCAACCCCTATGTCTCCCTCTTCGAAATCAGTGAGCACACCCAGTGACGCAGGCAGCCAGGACTCGGGAGATCTGGGACCCATAGGGAGGTAAGACACAGAGTCAATAGAGTTGAATAAATGTGGGGTTTTTTCACTTCACTCTTAATTCCCCATTTTTGCCTTTGCTTCTCTAAATGAGAATGTCCCGTACCTAACATGTACTTTTGTTTCTGCATTTTCTGTGTGTTACCGTCCGGTAAGACTGGTCTCAGATGCGAGATAAATAAATGCATGCAGCAAACAGATCTTAAGCTATGGACCCCAAACCTCATACTGGAAGCAAGAGCTGAATTTACCCTTCTAAAATTGGCCCAAAGAAAGCTGTCATTCTGTGTGGACACCCACTAAAAAGAGGGGAAGTGCCCAGTGGTAGAACTCATGTGAGCTCTCTTTGTTCACACAACCAGTCCCTTTTGAAGCCCTCCCAGGTGTAATGCCAGGCTGCCGCGGGTTCTTGTGCGGCTGCTCATCGCAGTGTGTGGCATTGCGGTGGCAGGGAAGAGCTTCTACAGAAACGTGCTGGAACACCCCAGGACCAACTGGCAATTCTGCCTTGGAAACTGCGGGAGTCAGAGAGTTTCATGCAGAATGGGAGGGAAGCAGCTCTCTTCTTGTTGAAAAGGGGTGGCGGGGCGTGTGTAAGGGATGGGCACAAGAGCAACCTTCCTTGTCTTTGTTCGTACGGCTGAAATAGGAATGAAGTGATAGTCACCAAATGATTCCTACTCTGGAGCAGAAAAGAAAGGAGGATGCTGCTGGTAAAGGAGAATATGTTCAAGCAAGAAGAGGTCCAAGCAACTAACGACGCTGTGTATTTTGAGAAATGTAAAACATGAGTTCTAATAGCTGTTTTTGTAGTAGCTGAGCTGGCAGCTTATCCAAGTCTGTGAGCAAAGACTCTGCTAACGGCTTGAAAACACAGTGCTTGCTCTCCGCAGTTAACAGTTGTCAGGAGTAGACACCATGCCTTGCAGACATTGACACTAATGTCACAGAGCTTCAGGTCACCAGGTTTCATACCACACCAGCCTTCTGCTAACAAAAATCACAATTCTGTAAGCTGAAAGTATATTGGGTCCCCTGTCAGCCAGATGCAGACACTGTACCTTGTGATGTGCAGGTTGCACAGATGCTGCTGAAGTCTGCTCAGCCCTTCTCCCAGGGCTACCCTCCAGGAGAAATGGAGGTTGTTAAGTAGGAAAGCCCTAGCCTGTAAGATAAGGCAGTTCAAAACACAGAAAATAGTGTAATGCTACATTCATAAATAAATGCAGTAGACTTCAGCAAATGAAAATACTTTGAGCAGAGTAAAAATTGGTTTTAACCAAAGCATAGTCTGCTGTTGAGGATGAGTTATTTCCCATAGTCCTACTTGTAGCTATGACAATGTTGGCTGGAGTCTTCTAATTCCTGGTTTTCTTCTGAACTTTGATGGTGTAACTTTTTTACTGTTAAGCTAGCGAAAGGCCCATGGAAGAATTTATTTTACTCTGACCCATGCTAGCACTTTGACTCTGTTGGCAACATGCAATGAAAGCACGTGACCATGTGTCCTTACAGAGGAGAACGGAGTTCCTCCTCTTCGTCAATGATGTACTGCATTGTGGGCTTTTCTTTTGGATCCATTTTCTGGCTTCTTGTGGCCGCGCTAGGAATTCAGTGGGTATCCCAAGACCTTGTTTGTAGTCCACCAGCTTGCTTGCCACCCTCTCTGGTATTGAAAGGGCTGTGCTGTGTGCCAGGAAGGCCGCTTGCAGGTGTTTGACTGGAGCGATTGGTTTGTGGTAATGGAAATTCGATGATGTCTGGTCCAGGCCCTGGGGAATCTCTGTAACCTGTGGATAGAACTAGGTGGCAATTAGTTTGTCACTGGGTGCGGGCAGATGTGCTCAGTGTGTGGTTCTGTGAACGAGTACACCCAAGCATGCCTGCGTGATAGAGCAGTCAAACCCGGAGAGCAAAATGTTGGTAGACCTGTCATCACAGCAGGTAAAAAGCATGAAATCGCCTTTGCTGTTTTCTCTCTGAGGGATGCCTAGACCATATTTCTGACTTGTTTTGACTACTGCATATATAAATGCCTGCTTATCTGTATAAGCGAGATTACTCTGCTTCATTTTAATGTATCCTTCCATTTCTCTCTCTATGATAGCAGGCACTTTTGCTGGATCCCCTCTCATGCCATCATCCTTGTAGCATCGTCCCCTTTTCCCCATTCTGCTGCAAATTTGCTGTACAACAGTAAGCTGAGCACAGGCATTAGAGGAGAGCAGATTAGTTCCAAAGCTGCTGATGCCCCAATCTCAGAGATCATAGCTCGTCTGTCATTGTTGCTGCTAGCACTGCAGCAGAAATAACGAGCTTGCACAGGCTGGCAGGAATCCTGCATGCAGCCTGATTACTCATTGCTAAAGTGTTCTCCAGAGGAAGATATTAAAAAAAAAAAAAAAAAAAAAAAAAAAGCTGTGAAGTCATAGATTTTGCTTCACTACAGGAGCGAGGCCCTGTTTGAAAGCTTTGAAGACAACAAGAGATCTTTGTACGTTCCCATGTGAGGCAGCAGCTTCTGGTGCAGAACTAGGTTGGGTTCATACTTGTGTGAGTTCTCGGCACTTCTGGGAGTTGTCAGACTTAATCTATTGGTCCCAATATCACCAGGTATATCTGAGGTATGTTTTGATTGGCAAACACCTATGATTTCTTACAGAACTGTGAACATAGTTTAGCCAGAAATCCAGGTTTCTGGCATCCACTTTTCAGGAAGGACAATTGATAAATTGGAGAGTTTGGACAGTGTTAAGTAGTTGTTCTCCTGGAACCACAGACCTCACTCAATCTTACTTTGCAAGATGAAAACTAACTGGTAACTTGCTCACCAAGTGTAACTGTTACGTGGGGAGCAAAAGGGCTCCAGCAGGCAATGTGTAAGAGCAGCAAATTATTTAGCATTGAAGCTGGACAAATATAAAATCAGAAGAACTTTGTAAAATTTTGATGGTGAGACAAATTAATCAGTAAAGAATTTACCTAAAGACTCTGTTGGGTCTTCTGTCACTGGACATTGCTCATTCAGGATAATGTGCCTGCCCAATAGGCAGATAACTGGTCAAACAACAATTCATTCAGAAGACTCATACGGCTTTTTTGTTGCACAGGAAGAAAAGCTGCACGGTCACAATGGTCCCTTCTGCCATACGATCTATAGACTAGTAGTGCTGCTGTCCTGTAGGACCATTGTCCATTATCTCCAGCACAACAGCTAGAGCAATGTTGTCTTTTCCCTGATGCCACTAAGCTTATTAGGAGAAGGTGTGGGATGGACTGTGTAATAGCACTAAATTATGGAACCATTTCTGTCCTGTGCAGCCCAGATTTCTATGGGGGTTTTTGCTGCTTGATCTTTAGTACCACGTTGCTATTTGTCATAGCCTTTTCCCTAGGGATAACACTAGGTTTCAGGAGTGTTCCAGCTTCCCCCTGAGCCATGACAACAACTGTAAAAATGAGCAGATATTAGATGAGTAAAGGTGCTAGAAACTACTGACAGTTTTCTCGGAATGCTTTCAATTGGACAGGAGAGCCAACTTGTTCTTTTTTTGTGGTCTTGGGGATCAATTCTGGGTAGGCAGATGCATGTTATATTTTGATTCTGGAAGATTTCACCATAACTATGGACTTAAGAACTAGGTTTTGTACGTGCTGCTCTTTGTTATCAGGCTGCTCTGAACAATTCATTAGAGCCCTGTTGTTGCACAGCGAGCAGCTTGCCTATCTCCACGTTGCTTTGCGCTCGCCACTTCACCTTTCTGATGGCTGTGTTGTTTGTGCTACGCAGATGGGACAGGAAAATGACATCACAGCCTGAACAGATACCTACCTTTGGATAGATGGGCTATTGGTTCACAGGGTTTTCTGTTATGATGTATTCAGATGCGAGTCATTTTCCACAAGACAACGTTACAGGATCCCATGAAAATTCTCCTTGGAATAGAGTATGCTTGGCTCTTTCAGGACAAGTATTTTGTTTCGTTTAGTATTTTGCAAGCCTTTTGTTGATGCCCTGTATCCTGCTGCTGACGGTCAGCTTATGCAGATATGCACAACTGAAATGTGGATGAGTAAATGTTGTGAAGAAAGGGGCTGAGGTGAAGGCATTTGCCAACAGCTCCTGTGCTGTAGCATGGTGTGAAACACAAATTTGCCTCTGCGGGGCTATTAATACGGAGCTTTTTTTGTGATAACTATATGCATCTCAGCCCTCCCTAGCAGATACACTGAACTTTTGCTACCTTAGCATGCCAGAGAGAGTGCTAGCTATTACAGTACAGCTGTCATGAAACAGTGCCCATGGAGAGGCATGTTTTACTACTCAGCATACCTTAGATATTCATAGATCTCATCTTCTCAGCACTCACAGCCGTGAACTGCATGTTTGTGTGGTCTGGGAGAGTACACAAGGACAGCCCTTGTACAGTGCTTCCGAGCCAGGCAGTGCAATACCAGCTCTTGTGGGCTGAGCCAGCTCTCTGGAAAAGCCCCAGTGTCCTGCCACAGGTAGAGCCAGAGCACTAGGGTTGGTCTACGCTTTGTATGCTCAACATAAGACAGCAGAAGAGTATCTGCTGGAAGGATGTGCTCCTGTGGCTGGGTAGCTTTCATGTGCTAATACTGGCCTGCATTGCTATGTATTCTTGTCTTATCCACAGGGTGTCCGTCTGTTCACCCTGGCGTATTGCACGCTTGGAGGAGTTGCGTTGCTGGACCAAGGTGTGATTGATCTGTGTGGTCCATTTTTTCCCTGAATCTTTCACTGCTTCTCTATGTTTCCTGCCAGCTTTATTACCTTACAGTGGTAGGTTTGCACAGTAACATCCCATTTATTGTTGAGCTGGGCTGTGTGTGCGTGTGCATGCGTGTGGCACTTCCCTGTGTGCATTTTGTACTGGAACGTGAGAATCCCAGTAGGCTGCATATAAGGTTTCCCACCTTCCATCTGCTGACGACTGCACCAGGCTCAGCTGTCTTGGACATGTAAAGGTTAATGGTTG